ACCCAGTGAGTTTTCTGGCAGTTGAGGGCTGAAAATCTCGCGTACATCTTGCTATTTTCTTACCAGTTATTCTCAGTTGTTATTGCTGCAGAACACGACTTGGAAAGTATCTCAAAGAAGTCTAACTTTTTTGTCTACTAGAAGGATGTAGGTTCTTGTCCCTAAGCAAAGTGACCTAAATGGAAAGGACCAAAATTCTGGAGCTCATTATAGAGTAAAACCCTATTTGTAACAAAAGTTTTTCTAAAACTTTCACTTTGGATTCAAGAACTTCACAAATTCAAGAGCAAATGGAGAGGTAACCAATATCCAAATTACAGATGTGGTAAGTGAATGGCAAAATTTAAAGTTGACAGTATATGGAGGAAATGCATCAACCATAAGGAACTGAAGGATTATATTTTCTAAAATCTTCATTTCCCTCTGAGGAGCAAATCCTTCCCTAGTTGCTAACTAATGTTGACAGATTAAAAACCATAGTTGTGTCTAGTTTAAAAGTCCACCGTGTGGAGGCAGTCATTTGGCCTGGCAGTGAAGATGCTTACATATTATATCAGAGTAACTGGGTGTGATGTCCAGCTTTGGGTCCTGACTCCAGCTGCTTACAAATACAGACCCAGGAAGCAGCAATAATGGCTCAGAGAATTGGGTTCCTTCCATCCACTCACACAAGACATCTAGATTGAGATTCTGGTTTCTGGCTTTTGCCTGCCTGACACAGTTTAAGATTAAGGAGAGTTTAAGGTGAGATTTAAGCCTAAGATTAAGGAGAGCTTAAGGAGAAACTTGAGTCTCTCCTTCACTTTCCTCACTGACAACCATGTTTTATTCTAAGAAATGGAGAGAAAATATAACTGGCTACAACTTTTTAAATCTATACTCTCTCTACTTTTGTAATTTCTCTGAAGAAGTTAGAGAAATTGCCTTTTTCTGAAGAGAATGTGTCTCATTCTTTGTTGACCTTGGCTACTTCTCTAACAATAATTCTAACTAGTACAAATGGCATTTCTAGTAACAATATGTAATATATACACACACGTGTGTGTGTGTGTGTGTGTGTGTGTGTGTGTGTGTGTGTGTGTGAGACAGAGATGCACAGAGAGAGAGAGAGAAAATTCAAATTCACTTAAACCTCAGAACATTATCCCCATTTCACAGAGGAGGAAATAAAAAACCAAAGAGATTTGAAAAAAAAAATAGCAGATCACTATTGGAACCTAGCAGGTGCATCATACAAAATAAAAATAATAACCTATTCCTTGATGGGTTAGTGTCTCTGTGTTGCAGATGTCTGAATACTGACTCTACCATGGGGACATAGATCTTGTGAAAGCTGTGCATTGCACACTGCCCAAATATGGAGTGCCACACTAATTCAGTCTCCTTAGTTGTAACCTCTGACCCCAAGTCCTATCAGTTTCTTACCACAGAGTCCATTTCTCAGGTACCCAGTCCTCTTGTAATTTAGCTGCCTTTGAAGGCATTTCCTGGACAAAAGAAACTCTCACTTCTTGGTGGTTCTAAGAGCAGGAGTGAATGTCACTCTTTTCTGAAAGTAATACTATTTTAAAATAAGTTATGTTGGGCCCGGCGCGGTGGCGCAAGTGGTTAAGTCCTCGCCTAGCACGCCCGGGATCCCATATGGGCGCCGGTTCTAATCCCGGCAGCCCCGCTTCCCTTCCAGCTCCCTGCCTGTGGCCTGGGAAAGCAGTCGAGGACGGCCCAAAGCCTTGGGACCCTGCACCCGCGTGGGAGACCCGGAAGAGGCTCCTGGCTTCGGACCGGCATAGTATCGGCCCGTTGCGCTCACTTGGGGAGTGAATCATCGGACGGAGGATCTTCCTCTCTGTCTCTCCTCTCTGTATATCCGCCTTTCCAATGAAAAAAAAATAATAAAAATAAATCTTTAAAAAAAAAAAAAAAAAAAAGAAAAAAAAATAAAAATAAAATAAGTTATGTTATTTTCATTTCATTTTAAATGCAGAGATGGGAGAAGAAAGACAGAAAGCTCCCATATCCACTGGTTCACTCCCAACATGCCTGTAACAGCCAGGACTTAGGGAATGCAGAGACTAGAGCCCATGCATTCTAGTCTCTCATGTCTGCTATTTCCACGGGTGCACATTAACACGAAGCTGGAGTGGGGGACCAGCACTGTGACAAAATGAGCTGAGATGCCACTTGCAACACCAGCATCCGTATCAAACAGCTGATGAGCTCCTGATACACTGCATGGGAAAGCAGCAGATGATGATCCAAACATTTGGGTCCCTGCTACTCATGTGGCAGACCCAGACACTGGCCCGGGCCATTGCTGCCATTTGGTGGACTGGATGGAATATCTTTCTCTCTCTGGAAATTGAACCAGGCTCTTTAAAATGGCATGTGGCAATGAAAACACTGCACCAAATACCTGCCACTGTAATATGTTTTTTAATTCTTTTATTCATCATGTTGTTTACATAGTTGACAAGGATGCATGCCCATGAGGGCCACCAATTAGGAAGGATGGGGTCAAGGCATGGGGGATGACGGGTGAGACAAATGCTTCTAATTTTCTCTTTCTTCCCTTTTCTCCTGAATGGGTTAGATAGAGAAAGAGACGAAGGGAGCTGCTCCCAGGTACCAAACTACATCAGTACCTGGGGCTGGGAAATGTCCTCATGATGTCATCTTAGAACCAAAACTCTTGCTTTTGGATGCTAGTTTCTAGGTTTTAGTTTGAAAAGAAACTCATTGAATATTGTGTGAGCATATAACAGCAACAAAAATCCAAAGATGGATCCAGAGATATTCATTTCCATTCCTCTTATTCCTGCTAGAATGCCCTCCCATCTTCACCTGACGGCTAAAAACAATGGCCATTTCTGTGATTACACAGCCTGTTATTAAAATCAAGGATGTGGTGATTGAGCCCTTCTGGACAGGGAATGTCCAGTTGTGTGTGTATGTACACATTTATGTATTCTCTATGATTATTTGAGAGCTTGCCAACTACAGGTGAAAAGAATCAAATAAAGGGGAGTCTGTGTAGTGAATAGCTGGAATAAAAATACTCATGTTTAGATTGAGATGAGTATATTTATAATAGACACACGTATCCAAAGTTAGCTCACTTAATATCATTTTGCCTCAAGTTAGCTTACCTAATTTCATTTAGCCTGATGACTACTACAACTAATGTTTAAAATGCATGGTTAAAAAGGAAAGATTTTGCTAATAATATAGATCAGAAAATGTAAATGTTAATAAGTATTTCAGAATTATTCTTGTATTGCTAATACTTATTTTTATCATTTATAAACACACCGTGCCTTTTACTATTTTATTCAATTTTGAACATTTACAGACAATGCACAAACCATAACTGCTTTCTTACATTTTTGTGTTTCCACCAAAAACATTTATTAGAAAAAAATATATTTCTTGAAAATTTTGATTATCCTTGCCTTCTTGTTGATTCCATTTTAAAAAGGTCTATATCATGGTATATATGTGTATATTTATATGTGTATGTTAATCATATCACACTCTGTCTATTCCATGAGTTATTACTATTTCACTACAATAAAGAAGAGTTAATCACTATTTTGATCACATTGCATGTTATTTATCAAGAAGCCTAATTGATAATGCTTTAGAACATCGACTAATACATCATTTTCCAATAACTATAGTTACCGACCCTTCCAATATTTGCAAGGGAATGATATGAAATTTTGTATCTCAGGAAGATTGAATCAAAAGGAGTTCATTTTGAAACTTTAAAATATCAAAATGGATATTTAAAAAACCTTTTAAAGGTGGTAGAGTTTTATATTCAGATAAATTTTCATACAGCAGATTAGCTTTAGACCATATCTCAGTTTAACTTTTCCTTTTTTTAAGATTTGTTTTTAATTTTTATTGGAAAGTCAGATTTATAGAGAGAGGAGGAGAGAGAGAGGAAGATCTTCCATTGTTGATTCACTCCCAAGTGGCCACAATGGCCAGTGCTGCACCAATCTGAAGCCAGGAGCCCAGAGCCTCTTCCACGCTTGTGCAGGGTTCCAAGGGTTGGGGCCATCCTCGACCGCTTTCCCAGGCCACAAGCAGGGAGCTGGATGGGAAGCAGGCAGCCGGGATTAGAACCAACTCCCATATGGATCCCGGCATGCTTAAGGCAAGGACTTAGCTGTGAGGCTACCACACTAGGCCTTTTCTTTTCATTTTAAAATGAGGATTGTGGAGGCACAGAAGAAATAACCTACACAGCCTGAAAAATCAGACATAGTCTCAAGCTTCCTATACAAAGTAAGATGATGCAATGCCAAAGTGTGGGCCACAGTTTACCCTTTCCAGGGTCTCAGGTTGGGACAAGTCTGAGATGGAACTCTCCTGATGGGAGTCTCCTTAGAGCCCTGAGTTTTTCCTTTGGCAGATCTGGCTACAAAATTTGTAGGCTCACTGCAAAATAAAAATGCAAAGTCCTTTGTTTAAGAAAACACTAAGTATTTTGAACAGTTACAGCAGAGTATTAAACTAAGCATTTAGTTAAGCTTTCTAAGCTTAAGACCTTTTTGACTCTGCACGGATTACGCCCTTGAAGTCAGTTGGCTCTGTGGGAATATCTGCCTTCTAAGTTCTCCTTCACTATCTCCCATCTTACATTTCCTTGTCACTCATGCTGATTCTTAAGGCAAAGTCTCCTGGTAGCTAACGCAGGGGAATTTTGAGCTGAGACACTGCCTTAGCTGATGTCTTCATGGTTGATTCAGTTTGCAATGGAGCTGCCAGTGCCCATGTTTGAAGTAGCTCCTGAAGATACTGTCTCCCCAACCTTCTCCAAATCTGCTTACTGCCATATTTGACATAGACTGAAAGCAGTAAAATCTTTAGAAACGTAATGATTATTTTTTTTATCAAATTGTCTCAAATTAGAAGATGAAAGTGTGCTAACTATTTGTTTTCTTTTCTCTTTTAACTTGATTTCCTGTGGGAACTTCCTTACCTGTTAGTAGAATGGAGGTAAGATATTGTTATCATACCAGTGTATTATTTTGTTATGTTTTGTTAATTTGGCATACCACTTATTTCTATTATTTGCACAGACTGTAGCCTTTCAAAATTTTCTAATCCTTTTGATACTCTTAGACAATAATGATGAAGATAGAGGTAGGTAGCACCTGTTGCGTAGTTATGTGTAGATATGATGCTGAGAACTTTATATGCTCAAGACACCCCAATGAAGTAGGCGACATTACCACCTCTATTTTCCAGAAAAAGGAACTAGGAGTGCTTATTTGAACCAGGAGATTCACGTGGCTTACACAACTGGCAAGCAATGGAGTTGAAAGTTGAACCCAGAATGGACTCCCTGACCCTGCCTTGTAGTTTTATCCTGAGCATGAGAAAGTACCACCCTGGAATGGAATATTTTGCAACAAACTTTAATTTGCAATATTATACTAGAGTTTTCATAAACCTCTATAAAATGTGATAATGATTTCTAATTTTACCAGTGCTAAACCTGAAATACAGAAAGCTTAATTAGGAGTAGCAATCATGACAATTACAACTGCTTTTGAGTACAAATGCTCAAAAATATCAACATCACTTTTCTCATGTTAGTAATTCAATGACTGTATGGAGAAAAAATATTATTGTATTTGTAACTTGAAATGAAGAATTTAATGCACCAAGAGTCCCTTGGATTGCACAACTATCAAACTGAAACCTTCCATCTGAGTTGAGGCAAACAGAGTCAAGACCATATGTAACTACTACACTAAATACCCTATTCCAGGGCTGCAGCAATGGAGAATTTAGAACCTCAGCCATTGATTCCAACTCCACAGGATGAAAAACTCATTGCCTAAGAATATTTGGTATCTGGCCAAAGTTACTCCAATTCATCTAGGTTTGATGCATTTATCTACCCTTTGAATATTTGCTGATATTATATGATTATCACACTTCTAAGAGACAAAATATTGCTGATCCCCAAACGATGATGAAGCCGATTTTCTGCTGAAGGGATATAGAACACAAATATAATAGGCATAATACAATGCAGGCCACCAAAGGAGATGACATCTTTCATTAACATGCCATTTAGTGTATTTGGCTGTAAAATTTATCAAAATCACTTGAAAGGCAGTCAAAGATAGATATAGAGAGTTCTTCCAACCACCTGTTCACTCCCCAAATGTCTATTTCAGGCATGGGTAGGTCAGGCCAAAGCCAGAATCCTGGAACTCAATCTGAGTCTCATAAAGAGGTAGCAGGAAGGCAACTACTTAAGCCAACAACTGACGCCTCCCTGATGTACATCTGCAAGTGATGAATTGAAAATATAGCCATTACACAAAACAAGGCACATCAAGCAGCATTTCTCTGTGGATGTTATTTGCTGACCTATACCTTAGAGACTGAATCACAGAGCGACACATTAGACTTGAAGTAGTACAAACATTTCCAGGATCCTCAGTTACACACTTTGTTGGAAAGGTTCAAGAAGAGATAAGGCAGTTGTTCTGTAAGGGAAGATTTGTCTGTATCAGAGGAAAGGCACAGCCATCAAGTGCGCTTCCCAGAGATATGTGGGGGAGAAGTGGCATGGAGCAGTGAGGTAATAACCATGCCCAGGATGGGGGAGCTCTTGGACAAAGTGGTGTATTTAGAAAATGGGCATATATTCACAAATATAAGAGCACTTAAAGATGTCCTATCCAATGTGATTTTTGCATGCTAATGTGGAGAGAAAGAGTAAGAGGTGTGGTGAGAATCATGTAAATATCTCATTCAGTGACACAGATTTGTCAATTACAAAATTAATTGAGAGTAATTTGGGATCAGATATCCATTGCTGCCAATTTGGACAAAAAGAAGCCGTACTGAAAGAGAAGTCAGCTATGCTTCGTTTGGCAGCAGGTAAGAGGGGGTTTGTTCCCATGTGTACTATAAGGCAGCATTTTTAGAAGATAATCTGGCAGGTCAACCAAAATAACAAGCATTCTGTGAATGGGTGACCTCTGCCCTGCTATGAGAAACAGAACCAGCTGCTTCTAGAATTGCACCCACCAAATGCATCAAGAACTGGTATGCAGTGAAGCACTATTTTAACTAGACACAAGGGGTCATAGCACTTGGAAAACATTGCAGAAAACAGCAGGAATTCTTTGCATTCACCTCGTTCCCCTGCTCTTGCTGCCAAGTCCTTTATCAAGGTTTTAGGTGATAGGTTGAAGACACTAAAGATCTTTCTATCTCTGTCTTAGAGAAAGATCCCCCAGCCACTGGTTCATTCCCCAGATGGCTGCAGTGGCTAAGACTGGGTCAGGCTGAAGCCAGGAGCCAGGCTCCTCTACCAGGTCTACCATGTGGGTGGCAATGGTCTGAATTCTTAATCCATTTTCCACTTCTTTTCCTAGACCACTAGCAGGAGGTTGGATCAGAAATGGAGCAGCCAGGACATAAGCCAGGGCCTATCAGGAGACAGGTGTCACCCACCAAGCTGGCCCCATTTATTGAGAATCTTAAAGCACAACATTCTTGGAGCTGTCTCTCAGAATCATCAGACCATGTTCACTAACAGCCAGAGCTATAAATGGTTTCTTTGTGTACTTTCACTTCACACAAATTTTCCTACAAGCTTAGTGTTTTCTTACTCAAGGCCCTTATTTAAAACATTTTCTACAAATGGGGTGATTGAATAAAAGTCACATCAGCTAATTAGTTAAAGGCTAATATGAATGAAAGGAGCCTATTTTGCAAAACATTAAAGTATAGATGTATTTTCTACAAGGTCATTGCTGCAACTGATGAGCTATAGCAGCTATCTCAATCAAGACGTGTAGCTGGATATCCTGTTTTTTCAAATTAATATGAGATTTCCTAACAGTTTAAAAATGTCCATAAATTAAATTTGTTACATTTTCTTGCTTTAAATCCTTTATGTGATGATAATTAAAAGCTGAATACCAACATTTATGCAAATCTAAACAAGATGATATAATTGCAGCTGGAAATGAAGACAATATTCAGATGGAAACTTTCAACTAATTTGCTAGTATAGTTTTCTCCTATTTCTGTGATGCAGATGTGGAAACTGAAAAAAAAAAAAACCCAGAATGATTGCCAAGAAATGACATGTAATGGAACATTGTTCATTGCTTCTTTCAGTAAACCACAGAAAGATAACCAAGGCTACTGCGCCCAGTACAGAGGGGAGGTGTGTCATGCAGTCCTGGCAAAAGACGCGCTTGTTTTTTTCAACACCTCCTACGCAGACCCTGAGGAAGCCCAAGAGCTACTGGTTCACACAGCCTGGAATGAACTGAAAGCTGTGAGCCCACTCTGCCGGCCGGCTGCTGAGGCTTTGTTATGTAACTACATCTTCCAAGAGTGCAACCCCGGAATTGTACCTACTCCTACCCCTATATGCAGGTAAAATAGCAAGAATAAGTGAATGAGAAAATTCCTTTTTGTTCTATCTGTGGCCAGGGAATGTCTTTTTAAAATCCTGAACATTTTCAAGTGTATACAAAAGTAAAGATCATAGTAAAATGAATGCCATGTACCCTTCACTTACCTGTAGAATCAATAACCAAGTGTCAATTTATATCTTTCCCTGCACAGGCCCATGCAAATTTGAAGAAAATCATGGACATCATCATATTGAATCCATAAACATTTTGCTTGTGCCACTAAGAGATGAAAAACCTATTTAAGCAAGTTATTTTTGACACTCTTAAAATATTAACTTTTTAGTCAAATCAAACATTCTTGTGGAGTTTAGTTTCTGCCTTTGGCACTGCATTAAAACATGCGTGCTGATCTTGTTATAAAGTTTTCTGTGTAATTTTAGCTTGAGCTGAGTTGAATGTGTTCATTTGTTATATAGAGTTGGGCAATTGTCCCACTCTGATATATCTGAAATGTTGTCAATATCAGCATGTAAATTCCATTTTGAATTTGATTACAATGACGCTAGCTTTCTAGAGCTAATTAAGAACGAATTGGTATAATTGCATTATTCCTAGGTAAGAGTATTTCTATGCAGGAATATGGTATGCCATTTCTTCTAACCAGATCTGTTATAACTGTTAGTGAAGGTCACGGACTTCCTTCACACAACTATTTCTTCTGTTGTAAATGATCTTGTAAACAGGACTACTAATTACAGTATGATTGTCCTACTAGGTCAGAATGCTCATAAAATGTAGAAACGCAAAATACTACTAATTTCCTCATATTTTTTTAAATATTAGAGTTGAGCTGCATAATTTCATAGTCATTTCAATCACATTTTTAAATGCCATAAGCAAAGTTTATGTATAATAAACTTCACCCCTCTTCAGCATATAGATCAATGATTTGACAAAGGAGTATGCCTATGCAATCACCATCCCGATCAGACCAAAATTCATGGAACGCTTTCTCCACCAATAAGGCTCCCCTGTAGTCTAACAAATTCTTCATTTTCCCCAAAGGCATCTGCTGCTCTGATTTCTCTAACCATAGATTAGCTTTGTTTATTCTTGGATTTCATATTCGCAGCATCATACAATAATCAACATTTTACTTTCTAATTCTTTTGTTAAGCATACTGTACAGTTTCTGATATGGATCCATGTTGCTCCATGGAACAGATCATTTTATTACTGTTATGACTTATTTGTGTGTCTAAGGTTAGAGGGAATAAGTAGAAGCAAGCTCCTCCTAATATGGCTTAAGCATTCTAAACCAGTTAACTTGAACAACGACAGTAGCGGAAAGAAACTTGTAGGGATTTGACATTACTCAAGGTTATGCACTCATTAACAGCAAAACATCAGAAACCAGCTCCAGGCAGAAGGCTGTCCAAAGATTCTAACCTGGCAATCCTTTCTTCTTCTGCTTTTTTTTTTTTTTTTGCTACTACACTTTCTAATTACTGAGAAGAACCAAGTTTTATCAGTTGAAAATAATCATTCCTGGTCAACAAAACAGGGTAAAATGTCCATTTTATTCATGGGCAATTATTAACAATTAATAACAGTTATTTTATTTAATCTAATCAACTGTTATCAGTCACTTTATAGAATTCCATTAGATGTATGGCTGATATTTTTATAGTCCTGGTAGAAGAAACCATATGATCTAGAAGTAATACATACCCCTTTTTAAAAATAGGATCTCCCCTTTTCCAAAATTTAGTAATTTAGAGTTCTTTAGAATTCAGTCTAGCAGTCAAGACACCTGGGAACACTTGGGTTCTAGCTCCTCATTCCAACTTGCTGATGTTACAGACTCTTGGAGGAATTGATGATGGCTCAAGTGATTAGATTCTTGCCATGCTGGTGGGAAGCCTGCACTGAGCTCTCATCAGTTTTGCTGGGCGTTTGAGGGCTGAGCCAGGGAATGAGTGTGCCGTATTTATGTAAGTATCTGTGTAACAACCTCAGTCTGTCAGCTAGATCAATAGTTTTTGAAATATATTTAAAACACGGGTATTTTATTTAAAATTAAATTTTATTTTGGCATTTTAGCACAAAATGTGGTATTAACTTTCCAACATTTATTTCCTGGCTCAGCGAACATGCATGGATGAAAGATTTTAGGATTGAAAATAATTTACGGAGTATGAGTTTAGAAAAGAATACCTTTCTTTTAGCACTCTATTAGATGAGAATATTTATCTCCTGAATCTGTAAGTATCTGTATCATACATTCTTTTTCTAATTTTTAGTCTTATTTAGATAAGCATTTTACTTTTTAAAAATCTGTATAGTCAAATATTGCATTCCCACTGGAGCCAGAAAAGTTACTCTAAAGGTTTTTTTTTCTTAATTTCTGTGTTTTCTAAAGGTTTTTACAATTTGATATGTAATTAACAATTCCAAAAATCATTTAAGATACAGTCCCTTTATTTAAAGTATACATTCATGGAATATGCAAATAGTAGTATCATTAGTAATATAAAAACCAGTTTCTTCTGCACTTTAGTGAATCTTATATAATCCAATAGCTAAAAAATGATGCATTGAACTTTCTCACCCCGGATTTTTAAAGATATTTACTTGTAGTTATGACAACTTTCTGTGCCAATAAAAATTGAGCTAAAATAAATGATCAGTAGGAATGCTCTTTAGATGTTTTCAAGTTGTACTTCTTTGCCTGGCTACTGTTATTACTGTTATTGTTATTATTATTATTATTATTTTTATGACTTTTATAGAAGTTTCTGCTTGTGTTTATTCTCCTACGTGGTTCAAAGGGCACCATTTTACATTCTACTTTTTCCTTTCTTATGAAATTTTTTAAAAACATACTCTTGCTCATGGTTTTCTAATTATAAATAGCCATTTGATAATGTGTACCTTTTTTAGTGACTAAAAAGAATTTTATCAATTTAATATATATTGATTTACTGGTCTACAGTCACTATCACAGGCATTTGGAGTAGGTTAGTTAACATAATATATATTTCATATCTAACCTTAAAGTTGTTATGTGCCCTGGGCAAAGGAAACAATGGGCTCAGCCTATGGGAGTCCATCGGTGCCATGAGTAAGAAAGAAATTTACAATTTTAAAATGGGGTATTCCCACTAGGCCTAATTATGATTGAAAAATTACTGAACCTTCCACATTTGTTCTTTAAAACTTATAAACTGTATTATTATGATTCCATTATATGTGTATATGCTTAGATTGGGGACATTACTTTTGGCTTTTTTAATTTTATAATCACATACTTGAAATTTTTTTAGCTTTTTAAAATTTCATAACCATATACTTGAAATTTTTTGGAAGAGGTCTTTTATTTATCCTTGATTCTCTCTGTCATCCATTTCCTAAAAGTCTTTTTTTTCTCCTTACATTCCACACTTTCATCCCTCTCTTGCTTGCTTATGTTTTGTTCATTCATCTGAAATTGGTGTAATCAGTGTTATTTTGATCACATGTAAATCATGTTTTCTATAACCTGATGTATTTAATTTTAGCTCAATATTTAAGTCTTGGGTTACACTCAATTCTCCGTAAAAGCTATGAACTCAATCAAAAACATTTTGCTTACCATATTATAATGAAAAGAAAACAGAAAGCCATTCTGACTTCCACTTCTCTTTAAAGAACACTGTTTTCTCTTGAAAAAATAATTACTTTTTTCATTGCTGAGATTGGAAATATCTGTTGAATTTATTTGGGGATAATCGTGTTCATCATTTTTTTCCATGTGATTTAAGTAATATTTAAAAAAAAATAACTGTTCAGGAAGTTTTACACTTTACCCCTTAAAATATTTTTTTAGATTTCATGTTTAATTCTTTCTAGTTTTGTTTGTACTCAGGCTTTCTTCCTGGGCTACACTATTTTTGGTACTCTGGCGTTCTAGCTTATTTCTCCCTATTATTTCAGACTGTTTTCTCATTTTTGTTTCTTTGGTCCTTTATCTTTGCACTGACTAAAAAAGTTGGTACACATTGAATATGCATGTATTTTTTGAATGTTGTTTAATTTACAATTTTGGCTGAAGTTGTGAAAACATTGATTCCTGGTTTCTCCTTGCTGTGCTCGTTTTGTCAGGTTCCTGTTGTGCTCTCACACCCTACTTCTCAGTCCACCTTTTCATTCCTCGCTGATTTTTGTTGTTGTGAGACATGGTGCTCTAGAACCTACACTTGAATGCATGACAGTAAGAACAAAGCAAATCCCAAACCACTCTTGAACGTGTGCTTCCACTTACAAAGGATAATCATTTCCCCCCAAACTTTTGCTTCTGCTATATCCTGTGAACTACAGAATTTTTTTCCTTGTGTCCTACAGTTTAGCTGTGCTCTCTAAATAGAAGCGATGTGCATGGGTGGGCCCCAACAGAAAAGAAACAGCTATGCAGCAGGCCTAACACTCAGCTTCTTAAAAACTGTATTCTCTCCCCTTCTCTGACTGCTGGTCCCCAAATTCGAAATCCAGTTGTTACATTCATAAACGTTATTGTACACCAGGTGAAGCGTATGCACAGCTCTTTCATTCTGTATATGCTCACTTAGCCCATACGGGTCCTTTGGAGAAACTATAAATAATTTTTTAAAATACCATTGTAGCAGGAATGCATTTAGATATGTTTCTACACACATGTATGCACACATGTAATTTCATCCATGGCATGCTTCAGATAGTGAATGAAGAACATCAGCTATTTTCATGAACTTCTCCTCTGTGTTATTTCTTCTTATGGAGAATCCCATACATCTTCACTTGGAATCAATGAGACTTTTTCATGTGCAATCTGTGCTATTTTCTATCAGATTTGAATGGCAATTCACACGATCTCGACTGATCTAAGTAGTGCTTTTTTGCCTCCTTCATTTGCAAAACAACATGTTGATGACACAACAGGTTCAGCCTCACACAGACACTACCCCAGTGTTTCCAGGAAGGAGCCCAGGAGACTCTGGGACAGGTTGCTGCTTCTCGAGAAAGCTCTGGATGAGGACACGCACACTCTCCTGTTCTCTGTCAGGGAACTGATGAAGTTTTGTTTTGAGGAACAAAGCTTTCGGAGATGGTGATTCTATTCCTCAAACCCTGTCCAATCATGCCAAGATTCTAGAACACGTTCCCAGGCCAGATTCAGATTTAAACGTGACTTTATCAATGTGTATATTTAACCTCTGTGTACTTGTTTATGTTCCTTTGTAGTTATTTTTAGCATGAAGTTGCAGGAAGACCTATGAACCATTCCTAAGCTAGTATTTTTAAAACATGAAAGTGTTTTTGTTCCTAGTAGAATAATTATGTTTAGGAAAACAAGACAGTCTTCCATCTCACTGGCTATTATCTCATACTTCATAAAATCTAGGATAATACACAGTAAAATGAACTTCACAAAAGTGCTATTGCAAGAACAATGTACTGTGATGATGTTTTGAAAGCAGAGTTGAGGCCCCACTGCAAATGTGGCTTCCACACGCCACAATTCAACAAGTTTTGTTCTCGATGTTGTATTTTAGAGAGTACTGTGTGGCCGTGAAGGAGCTTTTCTGTGCAAGAGAATGGCTGGCAATGGAAGAAAAGACCCTCGGAGGACTCTTCAGATTCGGGATGCAGTTGCTCCTGGAGCCAGACTGCAGCAAGCTTCCCAGCATGCACTGGGACCCCAAGGCCTGTACCCGACTGCCATATTTAGGTAATAAAAAGTTCCCTCAAGAGTTTGGGGGTTAGGAGAAATTTACCATTGAAGAAACTAAAGTGTGAACTTAAGACTTCTGGTTCCCCAGGCATTGCTAATTACATTTTGAATTCTGCTTGTCTTAGATACCTAATATCTGAATCCTAACGCTACACTAATGGCACAGGCTAGTAAAAAGATGCATTCCATTTGTTTTAAAAAAGGAATTAACTTCTGTTTGAGATCTTACCTTATTTCATAGGACCTCCTATAAGAGCTTGTAGTGTTCTCTGGACTGCACAGGGGGAAAAAATGGCTAAGAAACATCTCATATGTTGTCAGAAGAGTGGTAATCAAAGAATAAAGTCCCTTTTCTTAGCCTGTGATGAGGATTTTGGAGCATGCAAAAAAAGAAAAAGCCACATGTTTGAAAATGCTGATCTCACAAAACAGAATAGAACTGCTGTGTGTTGCTCTAATGAACTTTATTTGTAAGCAGCTATGTCGTTATCCCTAACAGAGGCTTTCATTTCAAAGATGCAACTCTTTCACATTTGAATGCAAAGAATGTTTTCCAGTTGCATATTCAAAAGCTGAGCAAGAATTTGCACTTTTTGGCACTCTCTCTCTCTCTCCAAATACATGAAATATCTGGATGCTCACTGTAAATACATTTTTATCCTTTCCCCTTCAGATTATAAAAAAGAAAACCTAACAAGTAAGTAATTTTGTTTGTACCCTTGAAACTTTATGTGTATGCAATTGGATTCCTGCATGTGTATTTCCACTCACGTTTTATAATGTCCCAAGGAGAATGGTCCCTCTCTGAGACGTTTCACCCTACTTACAGAGTAGAACATGAAGCGAGCTCATACTCCCTCTCATGTACCCCCTTCATTAGCCCAGAGAGTACACTGTAGTTAAGGAGTGATGCAAATATCTCCCACTTCAGGGTGTCAGTCTTGTTTATCCGTGATGTCTACAAATTCACCTTCTGATATCATATTCGTGGTCTTGGATTGCCTGTTTGTAAATGAAAGCCAACACCACTATTTCTTCACTGAGCTGACTCATGGCTGCATTTATAAATGCAGTTCCTTCTTTTGCAAGATAAACAATTTTTTTAAGACCTCTAATTTCCAGTCATTATCAAATGGTTTTAAAAAGGTCATCATCACAAAATCTCTAGGAAAGAATTCAAGAAGGATGCTTACCAAAAAGGGTTCCCTAGAAACTAGCCTGTAAGTGACAGAGCCTTCACAAGACAGAGTGCGGAAATCCTCAGGATGATATTACAGGAGTTTTTCATGTCAGCTAACTTCCTCTGGGTAGTGTTCTACGGCTTAAATCATACTGACTTCCGGTAATACCTATCCCAGGCCTAATCTCCTCTGTTCTTGGCTAAGTGCCAGGACTTAATTTTACCAGCTCACTTACAGGACAAAGACTTAAAGTATTCAAAGAAAGAATGCTCCTGATTTCAAACAACCAGTTATTAAGCAGTGTAGTTACAGAAATCCCTAAAAATCATGACCCTAAGTGTCTGTCAGATAGGCACCCCAAAGTGAAAGGATGAAAGAGGTATGTTATCATTTGCCTTTTTTTATGGATAACTGACTTTTGTTGTCCTTCAATTTTTTTATGCACTAGTGCAGTCAACACTGTGTGGAAGCTGTGGCCCTTAACTCTAGAGTTGACAGCAGCAGTGCACACTAGAAAGCCTCCTCATTTCTGCCTTTTACACTGATAAATGAATTATAGGAAGGATAAGCTAGCTACAATAGCTGATTTTCTCATCTTTGAGAAACATAATTTTATGAAATCTTTACTACGTGTAAGAAAATGGGTATAATTATAAGAAATGGATGCTTTTATCTGAACATGTCGTACAGAATATCTGAACACATGCTCACTGAATTAGGGCGAAGTATTTTCAAAGAAATTGTCTCTGGTTCCTTAGGTAGGAAATAGTTGAGCAAAGAGGGCACTCTGCGAGGCACAGCATCCTGAGTTCCTTGGGAATACTTGAAGTCCTCATTCACCTCTTGAAGTTTCTTGATTGCTGAGTAAATTCTAAAGGAAATTACCAGTTTCCTTTGAGGAGCAATGAAAGACTCAAGATTTTTTAAATTATCTTTACATTATCCCCTTCTTACCTGAACACTGGTCCAGGAGCTTTAGTACTTTATGTTTTTAAAAACTTATTTTTGTGAAAGTAAAATATCTTTTTCAGCACATAATATCTTTATAAATTCCATTCCATTTAACATTTATACTGCTTATCTGCGAGGCAGGCACTGCCCTGTATCTTTCTTCTATGTAACTTCTTTTACTATAGAAACAGCAAGTCTGTCTTCTGCTCTTTCAAAGTTTTTATGGGAGCAAAGTCTAATCTGGTTTGATTCTTGGAATGATGACATGATTTTATTTTTTCTTTCACCTCGACTTTCCCTAGGCAAGGAAAGTGAAGGAGTGTGTGCGAAAAATCAAGACAACTGAATAGTGTGTTACGTTAATTTCTCTCTTCCAATTCTCCCAACTGTCTTATGAATATCCTCTTGATATATATCCAAGTCAGCTTGAGAAGAAGATTAACCACTTGCCCAAAGGAGCAGAGTCAGCACTTCAACCCCATTCTGTGTGGTCCTGGCTCTATTTGCACAGTCTAGTTCCTTAACTGTTTCACCGAATACATCTCTGTTACTAGTTCTATGCGCCCAACTTTAAATGTTGTAAAGCTGACCCGATCACTTACCTAATTCTTTCTTGTTTAGCTACTTCTACTTCTGTATTAGTTATTTTTAAAAGAAACCTAGTAACAAATAGTAGAATAGTATTCTTTTTGATGTTGCGTAGTATTCCATGGAGGACCGTGGCCACAATGCTCAGTGAAATAAGCCAGTCTGAAAATGACAAATATCATACACGTTCTCTGTTCTAAGATAGTTTTCATGCAGCATAGACAACAAATAGATATGTAGATACACAAATATATACACACACATATATATCTATTCTCATAGATGAACAATATAATGGACCCTAGCATACTGGAAATTAGAGACACATTGCAGTATGCATCTCTACTCCAGAGCAATAGGAAGACTCTCAATGAAACAGTTAAATATGCTTTGACAGCATGATATTAGATTTTCCACCTTCTACCTTTGCCTATGCCTACAGCGCCATCATACCATACTACTGCGATAGTACGGGAGAAAGAGATGGGAGCGGTATGAGGAGAGAGGAAGGAAAAGGGGAGGAGGAATACTTAGACCTACAGAACTATATCACAGAAAATAACAAAAACAATGCAAGAGCAAGTCTAGTGACAAAAGCTTTGCTTGTTACAATTTGAAATCACTCAAGCAAGGTGATGATTTGAACTTAGGCCTGAATTGAGATGAATATGTGCTTTACGTCTCAAGCTTATTTGTCCATGATTAGCCATCCTTTTGTCTACAGATGGAATTGTAAAGACTGTGTGTGTGTGTGTGTGTGTGTGTGTGTGTGTGTGTAAATGCTGAGTTGGAAATAACTTTAACAATTGTTTAACTCAAACTCTTCTACAATGAATCTTTTCTACAATGTTTTCGGCAAAGATATTCCCCTTTCACTTTTTATCCATGTGTAGAATTCCCAAATATTAGAATACTGTTACAATAGAGGACAATATTTGCATGGTGTAACTTTCAACAACTGATGGTTTTTCTACTCCTTCAATCCATCTTCTATAGGACAGCCTTCAAAATACTCGGAGACAAGTTCCTAGCTTCATTTCTCAACCTTTTCTTTTGATCTTGACTTCCTCATCTGTACATTTACCCTCTACTGTTGTAAAAGAGCTTAAGGAATGTCCAGAATTGGACACAACACACATCAGAATCTAGTTAGAACTACCATATAGTATTGTTTCTCTGACAAAGGCTTCTTTTTTTTATTTGCTCGCTATCTTAACAATCACACGACCTTGATATTCTTTTGAGTCACACGTGAGTTTACTAATGCACTTAATTTGATTCCTAATTTAAATTTTTCACTAGATGATCCCAAATCAATTATTTTATCAGATTCTTTTTTGCATATATGATCATTTTTAATTTTTATAGTTGGTTTCAAATATAGTCTAGGAGATGTAGTGATTCCTAACACTTTATCCTCTTCTTGGATTACGATTTCTGCCAATCTAAAATGCCATTCATTCATTTTCATTCTTTTAACCTTAATCTTGACAAATTGGTGCTGGTAACTCTTCTTTCTTTGTATTTACGTTGATCTGAATTCTCTTCATCTGTTTCATTTTCATTTTCCAAAGAACAACATTGACCTGGTTTAATTCTCTCATAATCATACAATAGTAAATGTTTTCTATAACAACTGATGCATTTGACTGTTACCCAAACTATCTTACCTTTATGTGTTCCATTCTTTTTATTTTTTGCTTCTTCTTTTTCTTTTCCTTACTTCTTCCTGATAATTACTGCTCCATTGTGAATTGATAGCCAGATACTTTCTCTTTTAGCAAATTGCAACAGTCTATTCCTCATTTTCTCTCATCCAATGAGATTCTTAGAATGCCTTTATCTCTCTAGCTCCCTGAGGTGTCCCCAACACAGAATGATTTTCTGTAGATTCTCAGAGAAACTAGACAAAACTCACAATAATTCCATCACTGTCCCTTTGGATTTAGTTTATACAAGTGCTCTTCCAAAAGCTCATGAAAAATATCCATTAGAGAAAGACTACACATGGATTTAAAAAAAAAAAAACTTACTGCACTATATAAACATCTTTTAGTGCTGTTTTCCATGACACTTCATTTGTATTTTTCGCTTCTGAAGTCTCTGATTTCATTCTTATTTAGTTAGGAGACTGTTGATATATATCCTCAAATGGGAGATCTCCAGTAGCAGAGTCCTTGAGGCCTTGCATATCAGTGGTTTTCTTTTGCCAGGGCAGCTGAAAAATGTGTTATCTGGATTTAGGATTCTGCGTGACATTCCTTTATATATATGTATAGATATGATTTAGCTTGTGTGAAGTTTCTGGTTTTACAAATGGGTGATTGAATGTAAGTCTGGTTATTGAATGTGAGTCTTGTATGTAATTTGTTCATCTTTATAGATGAATAAAGAAACATTCAGGTCTATCCCTGACATGTGTATGACGGAAAGCCAACGTAAGTGTGATTGTGAGCATTTCTTCCTGACTCTGCAGTCATGACTTTATGTTGATAGCCTGAAGTCAGCCATGACGAGCGTATGTACACCATGGAGTCAGAGTTGCAGTCAAGAGGTCTTTTCATGCAAAAACAAAACAAAACAAAACGGCAAGCAAACAAAACCCATATATGCTTTCCCCATTGCTTACAACCCTGCAAGTTTTCTCTATTTGCTACAGAGCCATCCAAATTATAAAAATTCATATGTAAGACTTTTATGAGCTAAATATGGCATCTGCAAACTTACCTATAAATACCTTCCAACTCAATCATTTAAACTTTCAGCAATAATTTAGAAAAACATAGCAACCGCCTGGCTTAACTTTTATCCATGCTATTTGTCTTCCATACAATGTGTTCTGCTTACCCTGACTCCTCTCTATTCCTTTAATACCCAACTCAAACTTGCATGCACATATCTTTGTCTCAGTTTGCTCAGATTTCCAAAACAGATTACCATCCACTGGGTGAGTTATAAGCAACAAAAGTTTATTTCTCAGACTCTCCTAAACCTTTATACTGGAGTTGTGGTAGACATTGCTGTAGTGAGTTATCTTCATGAATATGGCTGCCTTTCCCTGTAACCTCACATGGCAAAGGGGAAACAGAGCATGCTCTCTCAGACGTCTTTTATGTGACCAGCAGTCTCTTTCAGAAAGGTTGTATCCTTATTGATTTCAGCACAGGAATCGTGGGGCAACCCAAACACCCAGACCATAGAGATCTTCAATTGGCTTTGCTACTCACCATCTACATTTAACTTATCATTATTTACTGTATGTCTAAATAGAATTGGTGCTACTCATGGAGGCCCGTGAGCACCCATTCTTACTATTACAACACTTACATATTGTTGCAACTATCAGTTTACTGATTTATTTCTCGTGGCATGCAAACACTTATCAAGTACACCATTATACTTCTGACATTTAACAATACAGATCTAACAAAAGCATTAATATATAGATGCATGAGTGGATAAAGTCCCTTGTTCTTCAGAGGATGAGGAAAATGAGATTAAAATTGGGGAGAACAGAAAAAAAAGATGGAGAAGTAACACAATGGAAATATGAATAGATTATCTGGATTCAAAGACATAATTCACATAGCCCTAGCAAAGATCACAGCCAATAGATCCAAAGTAATAATTTAAAAATACAATAATTATGAAATGAAGGCGTATTTAGATCCACAGAGTAAAATTTTTGTTCAAATTATGTAACCTCTTGCACTTTTTTCAAATAAAACCTATTAAGTCATTATGGATGTTTCTTTTAGCATGTATTACACTGTTTGAGAAAAATTACTCTTACATGTACTAATGAGATTGCATGATAAACCTTACAAATTACATTATATTCTTTTATGTGTTGTACTAGGAATGAATTGCTGAGTGAGCTCTACATACAGAAAATAGACATTTATTTTAATACCTGCTGTTTCTGGATTACGAAGACTAGACCCAGCTTTCTAACTCAAGCCTCCCTTTCCCAATCTACCTTGGGTTATGAAACCAAGGGATGTTCAGGGTCATGAGCATTTAGAGCAGTTTACATGCCAGTGCTAAAAACACCTGGAACCTGGAAGGGTGTTACATCCACTACTGCTGTGGGACTAAAGATTTAAAAATGAAAATGCATGTTATATTACATCTCATTTTTACTGACTTTTGAATCCGCTGATATAATTTCACCATTTTTAATTCTCTGTGTTTGTACCTTTATAGCCCTTTAAAAATAAAATTAGACTTTTAGACTACTTTGATGGCCAACTATTCATTTTTATTTTTCTATCATTTGTGGTATGTGTATTCTAACTTTTTAAATTTCTGCTTCAATATGGTTTTGACTTTGTCACCTATTTTCTTTTCTGCAGTTATTTCTGCTTTTTTGTAGTTACTATGTCATGTTCAATGACACTTCTTCAGTTAAATAACCAGTTCATTTACTTATGTCTTTTAAATCAAATGTAAATACTGTCATTTTATCATTTAACACGTTTTGGACCAAATTTTTTGCAATTAGGAAATTTCTTATTTTCTATCAGCTATGTTCCAACTGTTTTTTTTTTAATCAAAAAGTTATTGCTTTTTCAATAAAATATCCTACTGAGTCTACTTTTTATTAAATGAATTTTGAATAAATAACACATCTGTATAATTTCTACTTTTAAAATAAAAGATTTAGCTGTATAGCCTGACAATAGGATCTCTGTCAGTATTCCACAAATAATTGGAAAAAAATAGGTATTTATTCTCTCCTTTTAGAGTACACTTTCACTCTTAGCTACCAAACATTTTTCTTGATTATTACAAAACCCTTTCATTCATGCTTTTGTCTTTCCTCACTGTATCAAGAGGATTTAAAGTAAAATTTTAATCAGACTTTGAGCTCTACACAGCATGGATTAGTATGAAATCTTTTGGTTTCCAGCAGTCCTGCAGGTTCCATTTGTCTTTCTGTCGTGTTGGCCCTTAAAAATACAGCTTTGGGAAGAGTTCAGTTTTCAAATGAATCAACTGCTGTTAATTTGTGTCCCAAATTTCCATTTTTCGTCTTCTTTCATTATTTGGATTCTGTTTGCTAACTGACAGTAAATATGTCTGAAAGCTCAGCTCCATCATATGCTGACTTTATTTCCTTTGGATATCTTCCCAGAAGTAAGACAGATGGGTCATATGGTTGATATGTTTTCAGTGCTTTGAGAATTTCCCATAATGATTGCACTGATTAGCATATTAAAGAGATACTTTTGTTCCTGTGTTTATTGCTGCACTACTCATAATAGCAATGATATTAAATCAATGTAAATGTCTATCCATGAGTGAATAAAGAAAATACGATTTACAAACACAAATGTTATTGCTCAACCATAAAAAGAACCTTTGCGATAAAGTGGGTAGTATTGGAGATTATCATGCAAAGTGAAATAAGCAGGACACAGCAAGACAAAAATCACATTTTCTGTCATAGAGACAGCATTGAAGAACTTGTGGAGAACATATTATGTGGCATATGGATATTTATGTATCACCTTTGCTGAATTAGACCCTTACATATTAATGCACCCTTCTTTCCTCATTGTCCTGACTTCCACATTCTGTGATATTAGTATATCCACACCTGCTTTCAAAAAACAATGCTCAGCTCCAGACAATCTTATCAGTATAACTTTATGATAATATTTTTAATAATTCATATTACTGTCATCATGTCATAAGCAATGAGATGCAGTATAAAGGACACTAGTCCAGGCTCTGCAATTATCTTAGAAAAAATATTGCACCTGCTTCTCATCTTTAAAATTGTGTGTCTATCAACTGGCTATATACAACTGGAAGTGGCTGGATTCTTGGAATTTGTCTTATAGATAACTAAGCAGAACCAGATTTCTAAACATGCTCTTAGTATTAACTGTGGTTTGCTGCCTGTTGAACATCACGACTTCTTCAAGGCTTCAGAATAAATGAAAAGAATAATTGTCTACTTACAGCATTCCCATCCATGACCTCCTCAAAGCCAAGTGTGGACATTCCAAATCTGCCTTCTTCCTCCTCCTCTTCCTTCTCTGCCTCACCTACCTACTCCATGACTGTGATCATCTCCATCATGTCCAGCTTTGCCATATTTGGGCTTCTCACCATAAGCACTCTCTATTGCTGCAGAAGAAGAAAAGAATGGAAGAATAAAAAGAGGTGAGATATTAGCTTATGTTAATTATACTGAGTAACTGCTTAAAATCTACACCATTCATTGAAATTGGGAATGTAATCACTGCCATTCCTTTTATATCCATAGCCTTGTTACAAAATTAAACACCTTCAACATGATTTACAAAAATGTTAGTGACTTTTTTCATAGTATTACGTGTCCTAAGCTTAATTTTGCACAGCATAAAAAAATCAAAGCAGTGTTTGAGGTAGGGAAGTGGGAGCAGGAATAACTACTCCTGCTCACCATTTCTCCCTTCCAATCTCCCTGCGATTTCCAGTTGAAACACTAGCAAAATTCCGGAGAAATGTGCTTTTGGACTCCAGACCAAACAAAATACTTTATTGCTCTCAAGCAGAAGGATCTTTGGCTGCCATGGTATAATTTGTTCTGTTTATTCATAAACACTGTCTTTTGGAATCTCAGTCTGAGAATAATGACCTTGCCTGTTCATGACCAAACTTGTCTGTCTCACCTGCAGGGAAACAGCAGCAGTAACCCTTACCACGCTGCCTTCTGAGCTCTTGCTAGACAGGCTTCATCCCAACCCCATGTATCAGAGGATGCCACTCCTGCTGAATCCAAAACTACTCAGCCTGGAGTATCCGAGGAACAACATTGAATATGTGAGAGACATCGGAGAGGGGGCATTTGGAAGGGTCTTTCAAGCAAGGTAAAATTATCCATGAAAAAAGAAAAACTGCACAGCATTGAAATGTTTTGTCTAAATAGTTATCAAACCCTTAATCTGATGTATATATCCTAAGTATAATAGTCAATGTCAAATGAGTTACTTGTACTCCATACTCTACTATAGACCTTCATAATTTCCCTTATTGTAAGAAACTGGAAGTACATATGTAGAAAGTATTTATCAGATATAAAAGTAATTTATAGGGAATCAAAATGTACCATCACTGATATATGTTCACATCATAAGCTATTTTTAATAGCTCAATCATATTTCCTTTGCAGAAAAGACTTTGTACATTTAACTTTAATTTGTTCATAGATTTTAGTAAATAACTCTCAGATTTACCTCTGTATTGTGTTGCTATCCCTCCCCCCTTCATTCATACTTTACTTTTACCTATTGTTTTATTTTAGGAACTGGCATATGTAGATGTTTGTTGAATAGTAACACTTAAAAGAAAAAAAAATACAAAAATCAGGAAAACATTGAGCTTGAACTTGAGATACTTATTAGGGTCAGCATTAGCCCACTAACTGCCTTTGTGTGAATTGGAATAAAATGCCTTCTCTGCATGGATTCCATACCACAGCCACAACTAGCCCAGAAAACATGGCCTTGGTTTTAAGCACCATTGGGTACTTTGTGTGTTATTGGTTCTCAATATTTGTTTGCGTGTGAGGTCTTCATTTTCATGTGGCCTGCATAATAGCACTACCAGAGTGAGATTAAAGCTGTATTTCTTGCCAGCAGCTCTAAATCAAAGAGATAATTAGTATTACTTGAGGAATTTTGACACCTATAAAGATAAGTCATTCTCCTTGACTTTGAGGAATTGAAATTCTGGCCGAAAGGGTTAGGATGGTAACCACAATCCCCTTTAGGTCTATTCACTTTAGAATTCCTATACTGGATAAACAATGCATTCTCAGTCTTCATCTATATTGAAAATAACCCCAAGCATTTTTTTAAGGTTTATTTTTCACCAGCTTGGAAGGGAGTGGAAGAGGGAGAGAGAGAGGAAGAGAGGTAGTGAGAAGCTGAGAGATCAAGGCATTTTGTTCACTAGTTTACTGAGCAAATTCCCACAACAGCCAGAGCTGAGTCCGGAGGAATCAGGTGGCTAGAACTCATGCCGGGTCTCCCTACTGGGTGCGGGGATCCAAACCTTTGAGCCATTATCTGCAGCCCTCCGGGGTGCATTAGCCAGAAGCTGCAGTAAAAGTGAAATTGCTGGGATACGAACCTGTACCCCAATAGGGGATGTGTGTGTCCCAAGTGGCAGCCCAGCCTGCTGCACCGTACTTCCTGACTCCCTCAGCGATGCTTATTAACCAGAACGCAGGAATTTTAAGTACAGCACACTACGTTCAATTTCTTATGATTCCGTGCCTCTGGCAGAGGCTGCAGGTGTGGGTGAATGTGTGGGTGAATGTGTTCCAATGTCGGTAAATGCAATATGGATTTGTATGATGTTGCTGATCTCGAAGATTTCTCTCTCATGTTCTCCCAGGGCCCCGGGGTTACTTCCCTATGAACCTTTCACTATGGTAGCAGTAAAGATGCTCAAAGAAGAAGCCTCGGCAGACATGCAGGCAGACTTTCAGAGGGAGGCGGCCCTCATGGCGGAATTTGACAACCCTAACATTGTGAAACTCTTAGGTATGTAAGTACACGTGTACAGGTGAGGAAATAGGTTTCATCAGAAAACAGTCACTTTTCTTGTTTTCTTCCTTTATCCTTCGTGCTTTTGTGCTCTTTCCAATATCACTCGTTCTTTAAACATCGACGTTCCTTTCCACGGTTGGCCTCTTTTCTTCTAACACTCCTTTTATCTCAACCTTGTAGGACATTCAATTTCTAAATGTATGATCCTGCTTTACTTTATAAGGAAAGAGTTGTTCAGCTAGTTTTTGCTCCCTTTTTATGTATTTGAAAGGAGGTGAGAAACGGAGACAGAGAAAGGTAGATCTTCACACTGTGTCACTACTCAATGCCTGAAGGCAGGAGCCTGGGTCTCCTTCTGCATCTCCCACAGGGACCCAAGTACAGGAGCCATCATCTGCTACCTCCCAGGGTGCACCCTGAAGGCTGAAACTGGCAGCAGAGCCAGGACCAGAACTCGGATGCAGGATGCAGGGGCCCCACATAGTGTCTTAGCCAATGTGCAGAATGCCTGCTCCCCAACAGCTTTATATAAATCCCTTCACTTCAACTCTTCTCTCACTGCAGCTTCTTTCCTTTGTATAAAAGACTCTAAAATGTCCCCATCTTAAGCAATGAAAGAACAAAGATGAAGTTGCCATGGATGTAGCTTTTCCCTCAGAGAATGTATCTGTGTCCTCTAGATTATGTAATTGACTCCTCATTTTGCTTTCTTTTTCTAAGTAGGATGCCATGAGGACAGTGGTTTATTTATTTTTTATTTCAATTTTGTGTTCCCATTTATTCACTGATTTACATATCTAACACATAGGTAACAAATACTTAGCTTGCACTAGTTACACAACAGTGAAAAAACCTTCAACAATTTCTGGCTTTATAGATCTTATACTCTATTGGAGGAGACAAATAATGAGACATGAAGATAAATGAAGCTCTAATTATTCTTTCAAAAATCAAAGCAGATAAGTTTTTGGAATGTGATCTACATTTTTGGCAGGCTTAGTGAAAATGTGAGATTTATATAAAGACTTGGCAGAGGTAAGGGAATAGTGATGTGGTTCTCTTAGGAAAAAACTACCAACAAGAATAAAATGATTTGCAAAGGTCCTAGAGCAAGAAAACATCTGGGTTGTTTGAAGAACAGTAAGGAGATGAGATGGCTGGGGTACAGTGACAGAGGGGGAAACTTACCAATGGTGAAACCACAGATTGGCAGATTCTCACAGGTCTTTGTAAGGTTTTTGGCTTTGACTCTCTGAAGAGTGGGAAGCAAAGAAATCTGAGCCAAAAAAATAAGTTCATGTTACACATTTTTCCTGAACTTTTCCATCTGCTTTCTTGAGCACACAGTCGGTATTCTCTTGAGTCTAAAGGGAAGTAAATGCAAGCAAGGTACCCACGATTCAATGTTGCAGTGATGAAAAAGAGAAGATGGCATAGACCAAGGTGGTGGGAGTACAGACAATGAAAAGAGATTAGGTTCAATGTACCATTTGAAGGGAGAGCAAAATCATTCCTGTTATTCCTAGTGCAAGATGTTCAAACAGGAAAGGAGTCAAGGAGTATTGGGATGTGGATACCCAGAAGAAATTAGGAAGGCAGGCAGAAATGGAAGCCAAGTGTTTGGGAAAGATGACCTGGCTGTTGACCAAAGTCTCCTGTCATTAGACTATAAAGAGTATTTAAATCTATCAGGCTGGGAAAAATACCTAAGGATGGAAAAAGCAAGTTAGGAAAGAAAAGAGGTCCAAGGACTAAGCCCTAAAACATTCCAGCATTTAGGGAGGGAAAGAAGAGATGAGCAGAAAAAGACTTAAAATAAAAACCAAGGAAGAAGTAACTCAAGAGAGTGTAATGTTGACAGTCAAGTAAATTACTACAAAGAGGTGAAAGTGTATATATTACAAGCAGTAAGTCAAGTAAGAAAAATACTATATAATGACCTTGGATTTAAAAACATGATGGTTCACTGATAACCCTGACAAGAGAAGTCTGAGGAATGTTGAGAGCAATAGTAAATAGAATTAGGCTGAAAAGAGAATGGGAGGAGGAAAAATATGGACTTCTTTTTTTTCTTTAGAGATGAATTGAGAATGTGAATAGAACTAGAGGCAGGGAGAAAGAGACACTCTTTTATAGCAAATAACAGCCTATTTGTTAACTAATGGGAGTGATCCTTTAAAGGGAAAATTTGATGTCAGGAGTTAGCAAACAGAGAGGAAGCATTTCTGAGCCAAAGAGAGGGTTTGGTGGCAAGGCAGTAAAGAAGGGTGTAAACTCAGAGAGTGGACAGACCAGCCATAGTAATAAGAAAGAATAAACACAGATAGTGATGGAAGATGTTACAATTTCCTTTTGACTGATGTAGTTTACTCTTCGAAGTAGGAATCAAAATCATCATCTGAAAGCAAGAATGGAAGAAGTGTTATAGATTTGAAGGAGAAGAAAAAAGTGATGACCATACAGGGAAGTGAAATATTAGATGGACCAGAGAGGCATAATGAGATTAGTAAGCACAATAGGAGGCCCCTGAAAGTCAGAAATCAACACGTGAAGGTGATACTGGGTTGCATGGCTGTGTTTTCATTCAAATCTCACCACATAGGCATAAACCAAGCAATGCGGAGTTGGATATAATAAGATTTAGTATTTTGACATAAACAAGTTAAAGAAAATCAGGACAAGAAAGAGGGTGTATTCAAAGGAGTGATTCAAGCTATGAACGAAGTGGAATAAAAGACCCTGATAAAAGGGTAGGACCAATGAATCAGAAGCTCCAATGGGTCAAACGATTATTGGAGCTGGTACACTATAAGTGGTGAGAGAGTACAAGAGAGGAAAATGGTGAACAAGTAAGTTGAATGAAAGTGAGATTATGTGAGGCATGGAAATATACAAAGATGTGACAAGAAGAGCAAGTGGCCCAACGTAAGTAGAGGGCCCAAAGAAAGGAAGCTTAGTGACCTAATGGTCACAGTAATAGAAGAAATTTGCATGAATATTAAAATGAAAGACTAAAATTGTGTCTTGAGATGTTTCTGACACATTGTAGCTATTCTATAAATATTTTAAAATAAATGAATAGAAGTTTTTCTGTACCTAACAATTTATCTTGAAAACATTTCATCCACTTCCTCAGCTCCTAAGCATCTGCTTCTCCACCCTTACTTCGTGTTTGAAAACCATATGCGTTTATTCATTCATTCATTAAACAAATGCATCTTTTTTCCCAGATAATCAAGAAACTCATCCAATGGTCTATTTCAATAGAATTATATCTTCTCGTCTTTCATTCTAATCAGAATTTTATAGAATCTGATACTATAGACTGCCTACTCTGAGCCTTCTAGGATTTGTACCACCAAGGGTTTCTCCTCTCCTCGTCTCAAACAAGGGCTCTTGGTCTGTTGTCCTTCCCCGGTAGTCAGGGTGCCATTCTGTTCTGTTCTTGCTACCCTTTTCCATTCTTCCTCCTCTTAATTCTTCTTGGGCTCAAGTCCTCTCCCAAATTTTGATAGCCCCAAAATGAAAATAACTACCATCATTTCTCTTGTAATCTTCAAGCATAAATGGTTTATAATCTGATGGATGTTAATTGTCACTTCAAAATCTCCTTACACAAGCACACACTGGATAATGCCAATATTTTTTTTTTATTTCTGTGTCTACTTCTTATTTCTCATATTCCTAAATTATTTTTTTATTTCTAAGTCTCTCTTAAGCATTAATCCAAGCATTATAAACTAGAAAAAAAGGATTGAAAATCCAGGAGGAAACAAGAATCCCTCCTTTCAAATTGGTTTTGAGTTGTCTGCTTAACATCTGTTAGGCTAAAAAATACAGTGCTGGAACTTGAGAGGCTGAGAGAAGCAAGCACTTCTGCTTTTCTCATTTGTGCAGCTAGAACACTTTGACAATGATCTGTAATCAACACAAAACATATTTTGTTCTTGGTGACTTATGTTTATTGTTTCCCAACATGTTGACTCTGCATTCGTATATAAGCATTAACAATTTTACAACATCCTGAATTCCTGGGATTGATTCAAATGCAAACCATGTACGATTTTCAAATTTATGATGACTGTGGTAGCATGTTTATACATGACTACTAAGAACTTTCTCTCATTTTTATTACCCAACAAAAATCCAGGCTTATATTACCATTTGCAAAATGCTACATCTAAATTCCATTTTAACATCCTATGAACAGAGGGTTTGTTTTATTTAGGTATGTGTAAACAGTGACCATTCATGCATGTAGTTCTATTACTTTTCTTGGAAGTTAATACACATTTTGAAACTGACAAAACTGGTGGAAGAGAAGTTGGGAAAATCCATTAAATTAATTTCCAATAAAATAAATATTCATGGCTTGTATACATTTGGGATAGCGGGCACTTATGGAACATGTTTACACTTGAAACTCTGATTTCCTCTAGTGGAATTCTGATGTTTAATTGTTTTGAAGTCATAAACTGGGGAAGTGGGTGAAAATACAGAGATATACAAAATTGTAGAATAGCTCAGAAACATTAGAATACTTTCCCTGGATTCTGGGAGTTCAGAAAACAGTGCATTGAGGTAAGGTGATTTGCTGACAGTGTCACACCAAAGACATCACTTGCACTAGCTATAAGATGTTTCTTACATCCAGCCAGACAGCCACTCATCCATCCATCCTAAGTCCATCCATCAAAAACTACTGAAAGGTTATAGAGAGTCATACATTTTGTAGTTCTGAGGTTGTAAATGTAAAAATGCCTTTCCTTTAGAATTATATTCCACGTTGAAATCTCAACTAAAAACTTGTTGGAATTATTACATAATATAAAATATTTTAACTCTTAGACATAAATATACATTCACATATATAATTTAAAATTATATATATATAATTATTAAAGCCATCCTCTGTCATAATATTTCTGGACTCAGGGAACTAAAAATGTTGTAACCTATGTTCAAAAATTTTAATTCTCAGAAAAATATATTGTCCTTTTCTGTACCCTAAGAAGGCTTTTTAAGTTAATTTAAGTTGCATAGCAATGGTAAAGCCTGTTTATATAAAAATTCCTCTCAACTAAAGGTAATCCAAAAAAGACTGCGAAGAAATGTTTGTATATGACCCAGTTATTATTTCTTTGACTTTCTCTTCAGTACTCTATATCTATGTAATTAATAAAGTTATTGAAAGTAAGACAAACAAAAAAACAACCTTCCAATTTCTTTTCTTGTTAAACAAGGACTTTTAATTTTTACAAACTAGATCCAATGATCTGTTTTTACTGTGATGCAGAATTGTTTCCATCTTACCTAACACACCAAGCTTAATTTTTCTGTAAAGTATAGCTAGATATTAAAATTGACCAGTGCCTTCCTAACATTTAATCCAAGACTCTGTAAAGTAAAACTGGTTATGAAAACTAAATTTCCAAGATGTTTTGGCCCAGCAATCTAAACACTTTTTTCTAAAAATATTGGGTTTTTTTTTGTTTGGTTGGTTGTTTAGATTTTATTCATTTTTATTGGAAAGGCAGATTCACAGAGAAGGAAAGAAAAAGATCTTCCATCTGCTGGTTCACTCCTCAAGTGGCCACAATGGCCAGAGTTGAGCTGAACCAAACCCAGGATCCAGGAGCTTCTTCTAGATCCTTCACATGGGTTCAGGGTCCCAAGGCTTTGGGCCATCCTGCACTGCCTTCCCAGGCCATAAGATGGGAACTGGAGCAGTCAGGGCATGAACTAGTGCCCATATGGGATCCTGGCACATGCAAGGTGAGCATTTGGCCACTGAACTGTTACGCTAGGCCTTCCTCTGAAAATCTTTTGTTTTTGTTATTCTTTCCAAATGTGATATATCACACTCCCAAATACCCATCCCCAAAAAGTAAACATAAACAAAACCACGCCATCACCTACTTAAATCATTCATTCACAAATTCATTCTGTGAACATTATCAAGTACCTGCCCTTCCAGACTCGTGCCAGCCATAGAGAACACAAAGAGTTAGAGTCAATTTCTCCTGCAAAGTGTTCAAACACTGGGAAGAAATCTCCATAGATGGATAACATAAATGGTTTGGAAGACAACATGTTAACAGAGAAAATCTAACCGGAAGAACTGGGAGCTGAGCTATCCTATGGAGGGTGATAAATGAGTTGACTCCTCACAGCCAACTGGGAGATGCGTAACCAAAGAAATGAGGTCAGATTTTACGCATGGTACTATCAACAAAGAAAGGGGGCCCCGATATTTGCTGATCTGCTTGGTTGTGAGTGTTCTTTCCCCCGTGTCATGTTACCACCCGTGGCTAACGGGGGGTGCTCCTCTGGTTCCAGGTGTGTGCGCCGTGGGGAAGCCTATGTGCCTGCTCTTCGAATACATGGCCTATGGTGACCTCAACGAGTTCCTGCGCAGCATGTCGCCTCACACGGTGTGCAGCCTCAGCCACAGCGACCTGGTCACGGGAGCTCAGGTCTCCAGCCCTGGACCACCACCCCTCTCGTGCGCCGAGCAGCTCTGCATCGCTAGGCAGGTGGCAGCCGGCATGGCTTACCTCTCAGAGCGCAAGTTTGTCCACCGGGATTTGGCCACCAGGAACTGCCTGGTGGGTGAGAACATGGTGGTGAAAATTGCAGACTTTGGCCTCTCCAGGAACATCTACTCCGCAGACTACTACAAAGCGAATGAAAATGATGCAATTCCTATCCGTTGGATGCCTCCAGAGTCCATTTTCTACAACCGCTACACGACTGAGTCTGATGTGTGGGCCTATGGTGTGGTTCTCTGGGAGATTTTCTCCTATGGCCTGCAACCCTATTATGGAATGGCCCATGAGGAGGTCATTTACTACGTGCGAGATGGCAACATCCTCTCCTGCCCAGAGAACTGCCCCCTGGAGCTGTACAACCTGATGCGCCTGTGTTGGAGCAGGCTCCCGTCTGACAGACCCAGTTTCGCTAGCATTCACAGAATTCTGGAGCGGATGTGCGAGAGGGCAGAGGGCGCTGTGAGAGTCTAAGACCGAATGGGTTAAAATTAAAGGTGGTAGTTTCTCTCAGATGGTGAGCCCGAAGGATCCCACGCGGAAGGTCCAACAAGACCCAGAGAGGAGAGCGAAACAGCAGATAGCCTGTAGTTTGCTTCCCATTGCAAATAAACAACGATGCAGAACCCACGTGGTAGTCTGACCCACTGAAATCGGTGATTGGAACCACTGGGGCTAGGAAGTGTGCCAGATAACGGGAGATGGGCTTCTTCCTCACGGGAAAGGTTTGTAACCCGCAGGGGATAGGGAGGAGCACCACCGGTCCAGTTCCTGCATCAGCTGGCAGCAGCGTGAAGCGCTCATGTGTTCAGTTTTAAGATAAAATGGAGCTCAGAGCCTCATTTCAATCTCGTCAATTCCTGTCTGTTGTAAAAGTGGTGCATCTTTGTGTATATTTCATGCATACTTCAAATAAAGTACAGAACACTGAAAAGAAAATGAAAACATTCATTTACTCACCACCCAAAGATGGGTATTTGGGTGAATGTTGAATTTCTTGTGTTTAATACATGCTTTTATAATTATTTGTTTTCTACAGAGTTGTAGTTATGCTTTATGGACAGGCCATTTCTAAGGAATAGAAAGAGAGCTTGGAATGCCCAGTTTTAAATGTAATTTTTAGTTTCTTCTCCTGTTTGTGCTTTTCCCTTTATATAATTATTGTGAATCTAATCTGAAAAAGGTTTCACAATCTCATCAATTCCTTTGATCTTGGCAGTTTTATTGATGCTTTTCTCTTGCTTTAATCTTCATTTCTTCTTCTTTCCATGACTCTCTGGCTTTTTGTGGTTGCTTGTTCATTTTTCCCATTTATTACACATATCCAATAAGTACTCTAGCAGAAATAATACTCAGAAATAAAATTACAGAAACACACATTTATAAAGCATTGCTATTTTTTCCTATTTCTTCTATATGCCATTTTCATGCCACATGCTTCAAATTTGCCATCTATTAATTTTGTCACCACAGGCTATTACATCTCTTAAACAGTAGTCTATAATATGGGATTTTACAAAATGCTCCTCTGATTTGTTGCAAAACTGATGTTTTGGGGGCATTCTGACATTATTTCCTTTTAGGAACTAATTTGGTTTGCCATGGAATTAATTTTCTTTTACCTCCCTCTAATCTTTGGAACTCATATCCATGGTGCATAGAGTTTCTCAGGAAAGCTTCACATAATATGTATTTACCGATGTCCAGGAGAAACAGTCAGAATTTATTCCTGACAGAGGAGGAATACAAATTCTTCCGATCAATATAAAAAAAGGGACAATGGGGGGTCCACTCTACACCACTTTACATTACTTCCAATTAAGTAGGAGTTTGGGAAAAGGAGAAACATTCTGAATTCTTGAGAGTAAATTTTCATCTGTCTGCTGGAAAAGTCTACTGGAAATCCCCCAAATTGCCTAATGTAGCAACTTGACATCTGCAAAACCTGGTATTTCTTATTCACAGTCTCTATATGCAACCAAGACAAGAATGTGGAGATTGCCCTAGACTTGGCCCTTGCCCTCATCCCCAGTACTCAAGTACTTTCATTTCCTAAAGTCCTCCTGCTTACAAGCCCTTCCTATCGATCCAGCAGCCTGCCACCACGCACTTGTCAATGGCCTCCTCACCCTCTCATCTCAGGTCTGGGCAGATTTCACAGACTACTTCCATAATGCTAACAAGGAACTTGTTCATGGTCCTGGCATGTACATAGGGAAGCTGAGTATAGGACTGAGACCTAGACAAATGCTTTCACATCAAGAATGTAACTCCAGAATGGATCCCAAGGGTTGAATGGAGAGAGAAACGGCAGCATGAATCTAAAACCAAGGGCGAAATCACAACGAAGCAGAAACGTGAAGGAAGGCCACCAGCAAGCCTAGCATTGCTCTGTAGGTCACATGCAGATGAAATGGTTCATGTGAAGGCAGCGTATAATCTCTGCAAAGCCAACAGGTGCCTTCAGCTTTCACCAGCTGTTTCAGTGTAGTTATCAAAGAAAGATCCAGAAATCAGACAAGAACTGCCATTACTTTCCTGTTTCTTCCTCACTGCTACCATCTGAAGGAGTGTGTGTGTGTGTGTGAAGATTACAGAGCAAAGCATCACAGAAATACACATAAATACAGTGACAGAGTGATGAACATTATGAGAGCCTTTCAACTTTATTAAAAATGTGAAGCAATTAGAAACTAGCATGAGTAAGTTTCAGTCTCATTTTCCGCTTAGGAATAATATAAATAAAATTTGTAATATTAGCTAGCATCTATTGAAAGACTACCATGCACATTTGAGGCCTTAAAAACATTAACCTAAACCTTGTAACATTCTGTCAACTACTTTTATGCCCATTTTTTAGGTGAGAACACCAATAATGGGATTCTGTAATGGCTTCAAGCCCATAAAGTGATAAACCCTCAATTATTAGAGGGAAAAGGCCTAGTTTTAAACCAGATTCCTGTAACGACTTAGTTTATTATAGAAGAGACCACTAAACCTTAATGACCAAGTGGAGCTGATTTATAATTTCCACCTAATTTCCAAGAACATATTGTATCTGCCACAACCTTACTTTCCTAAGGCTTTTTGATGAATAACCAAAGAATGATTTAGTATTGTCAATTTAACCACACGTCCAATAGGTAGCATGTCTGTTTCCTCGAAGTTACAGTCTCTTTTTCATGTAAAATTCACCAACTCGTTTCCTTAGTGTTCATTCTAATGTTTAATATCACAGGATGCATTGTTCATCAATTTTGCTTTCTTTTAAAAGTAAAGAGTTTTCTCCCATGGAAGAGTCATTGCATAAACTCAGAAAAGGAAATGAGAAAGAACACCAATATTATAACTAGCCAAGGCAGATAACAGAGAGAGACCAGCAAGTCATTCTAAGTGGTCGAAATCAAACACAGCAAGAGAGCCAACAGTATTTAGCACTAATACCAGAACAGTGTTTCTCTAGTATTATAATGCAGCACAAAAAGAATTTTTCCCACTGTTACAGCATATTATTGACCTCACTCATGCCATTAAATATTTTTCTAAAAATCCAATTTCTAAGTAATATCCCATTTATAGATATACTGCATTTGTAGTCACCTTTAATTTTTGAACAGGAAAGGATTTTATTTTCTAATGTCATGCTTGTAAGCAAAACTGAAATGCCCATTATCCTTGCACATGCCCTTTATGCTCTCTTTATGGGAATCCTGAGAGAAAAACTTTCAACATCAAAGAAGAGCCACCTGCCAAGACGTCTACTAGGTGCTATTATTCTCTCAAAACGTTTCCATCTGCTTTTTAGAGGAACTATCAAGGCTGAACGCATGTGCTGTAGTGGATAATCAATTCTCTGCTTTTTAGACACCATTTGCCTATCTGGTCATAGAAAAAGAGAATATTAGTTTAATTTTATTTTTAAAATTACTATTGATGTTGAATATTTCTTGTTTTTAGATAATTTGTGATTTTTACATCAGCAATTATCCATGGTCAATTTTTCCATGGTTTCCATGCTCTGACTGAATTGCAAGATTTTTCTAAAAAGCATATTAAGTCCTTGTCATACTGTACATGAAAAATATACATATATTTTTCCTTTAAAACTTTTGCTTTTTCTTCTTAAACCAATCATTATTTTGAACAAAATATCAACTATTGGCAACTTGCATTAATATGATGAATATTCTCCTGACCTTTTTAAAGTTGACAGGTAGATCATATATTGATACCGTACAAATTTTGCTTTTGTCACTTAATAAGTCCAAAACATTTTTATATCAATCAGTATCCATGAACAACCTCACTTTTGACAGTTTAATATCATCCTGCCATATGAGTTTATTAAAGTTATATAATTATTATTCTATTGTAGGACATTTGATTTTATTTTTCTTTATCAAACTATATGTTGCTGCTACTCTTTATATTTTTCTTAACTGATTTCTCTAGATATAACTTCTAGAAATGCAATTTCTAGATGAAAAGCCATATTTAGTTTTAATAATTTTTAATAATTTTAATAATTTCCAGATAAGAGTCATTTAATGCACTCTTTCAATGTTATTTTTGAATTTTACTCTAGTTTAATATTTTAATTCTATCACTTGTGTTTCTTTAAGAAATGTAAGACTGAACATTTTTCAATGTTTTGGAGATAAATTTTTATTTCATTTCCTTTTTTGAGTATGCCATTTTCTTGATGCTTAATGAAAGCGCTTTTTTATATTAAGTAGTTACATTTCTAATATATGTTTCAACTACTTATGTTAAAGCATACACTTCTATTTGCCTGTTATTGTAAGCATTTGTTATTTAAGTAAAAATGCTGAATTTCCAATATCTTTACAAGATTATGGGATTTTCCCCTTATTTTTTGGTTAATGTATGAACTTATATGACTTGATTTCCTGATGTTGAGCTACTCTTGTGTTCTAGAAATCAATTCTCCTCGAGTGTGTCACATCAATTTTCCACTTGACCACTAAATCTGCTTTATTTGTATTAATGTCTATAAAAATCAAAATTTTATTACTGTTTGTTTTATATCCATCCTGCAATAAGTTTATAAATGTATCTCTCTATGATCTTTACTAGTCTCTTTTTCAATAAAGGAAACTTAAAGCCTATATGTTCACTATTTATTAACTACTGTGAAAAGTATAAATAGTAACCAGTGCCATTACAGAGTAGGCTAAGTCTCTGCCTATCGTGCCAGCTGGTCTGTGTCCCCCCTTCTCCACCTCTCACCCATCTCCCTGTTTGTGGTCTGGGAAAGCAGAGGAGGATGGTTCAAGTCCTCACATCCCTGCACTTGAGACCTGGAAGAAGCTCCTGGCTCCTGGCTTGGATCAGCTCAGTTCTGACCATTGCAGCCATTTGGGGAGTGAACCAATGGATGGAAGACCTCTCTGTGTATCTCTCCTTCTCTTTGCAAATCTTCCTTTCCAATAAAAAATAAATCTAAAACAGTTGCGGGGGGAAGGTTATACAAATAAGCAAATACAATTTCCCATTTTCTACGTATCACAATTCCTGGTCTAAACTTCAATCATTTAGATCCTTTTTTGTTTTAGTTCTAACAATTACTATTTTGGTGATTCTAACAAATGTGCTTGTATCTCTCTGAACAGATCAATTTTAAAAGATATGAAAATCTAGGCATTTGGTCTAATGATTAAGATGCTGTCTGGTATATCCACATCCCATTGGAGTGCCTGGTTTGACCCCGGCTCTGTTCCTGTTCTGGATTCGTGTTAAGGCACTCCCGACGAGGCAACATATGAAGACCGAAGTAGTTGAGTCTGAAACCTAAATAGTAGAGGTGGATTGTGTTTCTAGCTCTGAACTTGAAGCTGGCCCAGTCTCTGCGAGCTGTGGCGGGCACCCGGGGTGTGATTCAGTTTCTCTAACTTTTCCTTACCCCTCCCACCCATTCTCAAAAGAAATCTTCAAAATACATAAAAGGGTATAAAATTACCCCTTTTGTAAAAGATATACATTTTAGAGTGTTTCATCTCCCTCTCCATTTACTGATTTTATTAATCCAACTATATCTCTTACCTTAACTTTCAGAAATGTAGCTAAAGGTCATCTATAGATTATGGACTATGTAAGACAAAATTCAAAAGTTTCTTCCATTATATTTCTCTCTTGTTTTCGCTCTTTCTAAAGATT